AATTAAAGGTTTTCTAGTAGTTTTGGTGTAATATAGGCTAAAAAGGGTGTCCGATGGATGAAACTTGAAAGGATGTGCGGTGTTGGGGGTGTATTGTGGTAAAATGAGCTTGGTTTGATGAGGAGATGCCAATGGTTCCAAACCGATGAAAAAAGAGAGAGAGAGAGAGAAGGGGGAAATGGACAATCTGGACATGGAGGAATCAAAAAATATTTGAAAGGGAAGAGGCTAAGCTGGAAGATGTCAATGAACTTGTCAAATTTATATATCTTTCTGGACTCTACTTATCACTAAAAGTGTGGAAGCTTAACCTACGGCAAGCATTGAATCACGGAGATGAGAATGTGTTTATGTGGGTATAATCAGATTCTTGACGCTTGGTGCGATAAAGAATCTTAAAGTTAATTTCTCAATTTAATGGGCATGTTTTCCTGAACCAAGTTTGGTTTCTTGGAATTGAGACACGGAAGTTAAATGGATTCCCCCAATAAGTACACAAGACAAGATGTTTGATGAAATGTCCAGTGGGGTATTGTTGGGTTATTGCTGCCATATTCTGGGCATTTGTGATAACTGTAACGAGCTAAATGTGTGGCTTTTCTCATAGATAACTAAAAGAAACCAGGCTTGGTTCCTTCATAAATCTGTAAATACACATTTCAAGTGGAAAAATTAGTACAAATTGAGTTCAAAATATCATAAATGAACCAAAAATTTAAGAACTTGGAATTGAAATTTTGATGTTTCCTATATTTTAGTGCTTGATTACAAGGAAAGGGTATCATCAAATCCTCCTCTTTTATTTTATTTTATTTTTTCTATTTTGAATGTATTTTACTCTAACAAAACCCTTAAAACATAATGAAACTGTAATGCTCTACTTCTGTCCTTGCAGTTTGAAACCCGGTCATAATTTGAAAAATATTGTCTCAAGTGTTTTCCGATTAGCTAAAACATTTAAGCCTTGCTTGGAATAAATTTGTCGGTTCCCTAAAGTTAAAAGCTTGGCCTAATTTTATTTTTTGAATTTGTTTTTCGTGGTGTGAAATGGTTGTGGCGATGTCATCGATAGCGGCTAAGTTTGCATACTTTCCCCGAACCCACCGTCTGAAAGTCGTACACAGTGGCGGATGAGGCGGGAACTCCGAGGAAGAGGAAAAGGACCAGGGATGAGGAAAAGGGAATGATCTGGCAATTTTATGTAAATTTGACTTCTATTGAAGGCTGATTTTGGAAAACAAATGATTTTGAATAAGATTTATTTATAAACATTATATATTATATTTATGTAAAATTTTAATTATTTTATTTTATTTTTGATAATTAATATTTATTTATTTTTTTATTATATTTATTTAAAATAATTATTTTTTTAAAATAATAATAAATTTTAATTATTAAAAATAAAAAATAAAAATTTTATATAAATATAATATATAAAATTTATATATAAATAAATCTAATCAATAATTTTTGTGACGTATTAACGTCCAAATCATAAAAATAACTCCAATGTGTTTAAATTTAAAGTATTCACATCATCCAGCACTTTATGAAATTATAAGATCACATGAGGTTATACGTCAATCAATAAATAATTTATCTAACTCAAAATTTTTCTTAGTTTTTTTATCTGTATTTTTTTTTGTTCGGGATATATTTCTCCTTGTTACCTAATTTTATCGATAGATTTGATTATTTTACCACGTATCTATTTTTGCTACCTAACTTCAAGATGAAATCATATGTTCAACCTCTTAATTAACTTTAGATTTATTATTAAACCCTCAAACTTTTATTTAGTTTGATAATGCAATTCGATACTGTTTTGTAATTGTAACTATTAGAAATGTTATATTATATTATCACGAAAAATATTTTAGTATTTGGTAATTAGATTTTTAAAAAAATTATTTATTGTAAAATTACTCAATTATACACATTATTATTTAAAATTAAATTAATTAATAATTTAAAATATAATGTACAAAAAAAAAGATTTAGAAATTTTATTAAATTATTTAAGAATTCTGTTAATTTTTGATAAAATGATTTTTGTATTTCTTTTTGAAAAACTAGGGGTAGAAAATTTACCAAATGTATAAGTTACAAAATTGATAGATATTTGCAAAAAATACTGTAAGTAGTATTATCAAATTAAGCCTTTAATTTATGTATATGAACCCCTAAATTCTATTATTTAAGTAATTTAACTCTTATGTTTATAATAGTTAAAGATTAAATTACTCAGATGGTAGAGTTTAAGAGTTTATATGTATCAATTAAAGTCTAAAAGCTCAATAATTAATCTTGAGTTAGTTTAGGGGCTTAGTCTATAGTTTTGCCTAACTTAATAGTGGATCTACTGCAAAGTACTTTAGGGGTGAAGCTCTAAGTATTAGAGAAAAAGTATTTTATTAAGTATTTTATTCTAAAATTAAATATATAAAAATATAAATTTAAATAAAATAATATTAATTATAATAATATCATATGAATAAAAAATTTTGAATAAGACCATGATTGACGTATATCTGGATTTAAAATTCGGGATGTGTACACTTCACATGATCCAAGATAACTAAAAGATTTTAAAAATATAATTACAAATTTACCATTTTCACTTTCTTC